TCATATAGATTTCACTATCTAATTATCTATATAAATAAATAGTTACGACATTAGATGTATACCTAAAATTTCATAAACTATAGATTCATAAGATATTAAAATATTATTTCATCCATTATATTATTGAAAAATATTTTTCATTAAAATGAATTTAGATCTTTGTGAAAAAAAAAAAAAAAAAACTAAATTGGGCTACAAATCTTGTTTCATATATGAAAATTCATTATTTCATTTCATTTTCAAATGAATAACCATTTATGAACAACATATTTGATTCATTTAACTGCTTGAACGATAGGTATAAAAACTTTCGCATTGCCCATGAATTTAATTTATAGTGCATCGCATTTTTCCATTTTATTTTTTTTTCAAATATCCATCAACTGATTTAAGTTCAATCACACTCATTTTTATTAGGCCAAGTACTATGCAAGAGTATTAGCCATTTTTACTTTGACTTGTAGAGGATCAAGAAAATTAAAATGTATTTTTCAAATAACTTTCTTTTTTATTTAACATTTTCTCCGGTCATGCCGGAAATCATAATTAATCAAAATGACAATCTTCAAATTGAGATGTAAAACAATTACAGGCTAATGAGATTCATACTTAGCATATATATATACATAATATTTTTTAGGATTTATTTTTGTACGTTGGGAGGTACAATATTGACACATAAATTGTACACCTAAAAGTTCGCAAATAAGAATAAGAATATTGTGTTCCCATTGTTTACTAATTATGTAAGGTATGAGTGAGCATTTTCTTGCCAGGTAGTTTGCATCCAAACAAGTCTAATCCGTTTTGATTTAATTGGATCAATGATTTTTTTTTTTTAAAAAAAATATATATATATATATTTGGGTTTTGAATACCCGATCGAAAACTCAGGTTAGAACTCGGCAACCAAAATGCAAACTTGATTTCTAGTGGGATATTCGAATTTCAATTAAAATACATAATATTATATTTAATAGTAATAAATATTAGGTTATAGATAGTCATAGTAGTACTGATTCATCCAATGATAGATTATATATATTTTAAAATATAATATATATAAGTATATATATGTATGTATATGGTTGGTTCGTGTATAGTCTATGTAAGTATGTGGGTGTATGTGTTTATGTATATAAATATAAAGTAATGATGAATACATGTATACTATGGTAGTGTGTAATTAATTAAGAAAGAGATTTAAGGATAGGGATAGAGACAACACACCGAATGTGATACGCGGTGGGCGGGCGCAAGCCAAAAAGTTACGAAATGTGATACGCGGTGGGCGTAAGCCAAAAGTTTATTCACAACGAGGGTAGAAAGAACAAGTGCGCTTTTGGTTAATTGTGGCAATGGCCTGAAGTCTAATAAGTTTATTATTAAGTACCTTAGTTTTTTATTTTCTTATTTGATTATTTTGAATAAATTGTTAAGTTGGTCAGGCCTAGGCCCATAGTAGTTTTGCCCTAGTATTTAAGTATTATTTTGAGACATTATTAGCATTCTGATTTCGTTCAATTTTCACGACTTTGGCTTGGTCGGGAAGAGTAGTTCTTCATTGGTTATCAATAAAGTTTAGTCTTTTGGTTTTCTTAAGTTCTCCTGTTATCAAATTGGTCTGATCTTCCGGATCTCAGCAGAGGAGAATGACGCTAACAAATATGCAATGCATTGAAGCTTTGGAGAAAGCCCTAGAGGAACTTCGAACAGGCGTGGAGGCACAATAAGCAGGATTGTCGCGCCTCGATTTGAAGGTGGATAGACAAGTGGATACTCCGAAGACAGAACTTTCAGTAGCCATGTGGGATACGATTATTGGGATGTTCCCACATTGGCCGCCCGCCACACCTATTAGAGGCTCGGCGGCGCAGGGAGCTATGGCGGGAGGAGGTGAGGCAGCAAATTCGTCGACAAGGGCTGTCGGCATCAGCGGGGCAGAACGTTTGTTTAAGGATGTAGGAGAAACGTGGACTACTCCGACAACCGATTTCAAGCTTAAGGATGTGCAACTCCCTAGCTTTGATGGCCACGAACCCTTGGGGTGGATTGCTAGGGCCGAACAACACTTTTTATTACACGAAGTCCTCGAGGAGATTAAGGTGAGTCTTGCGCAAGTGGCGATGGAAGATGTGGCACTCCATTGGTCCCGTTGGCATATGATCAAGCATGCTTCTGCCTTCTGGATCAAATTCTCACAGCATTGGTTACTAGATTTAACGATCGATTCATGGGGAATCCATATGAAAGGATGGTAACGTTAAGGCAAACATGTTTCGTTGATGAATGTGTCAATTTATTCACTCAACTTGCTACTCAGGCTCAACCATTGACACTAACAGAAGCGCAAGCCTTAGGGTATTATTTAGGGGGCTTGAAACAAATTATCAGAAATAAGTTAAAGTTAGTGGAGCCCCCGGATCTCGAATTTGCAATCCGCGTAAGTAGAAGCATTGAATGGGAGTTGAAAAATGGATCTGCGGCAGAATTTTACCTGCGAAAAACCTCTTCGACACTGCGAAATAACCTGGTTGGGCAAGTTGGAAGTACTATCTCTTCAAACACAACTGGAGGGGTAGAGAACCGCCATTCGACTAGCAGTATTGTGGGGGGCAACGATCAGTCACTTCAACCCCTTTTTCAAGGGGAAGTACAAGAAAATTAAGTCGCACGAATATCGCGAGTGTCAAGAGAAACATATTTGTTACAAGTGCAAACAACCCTATAGTCCACTCCACAAATGCGAAAGTAAATATCTTAATGTTTTGGTGAAGGATGATTTAAGCAACTGGATTGCAGAGTTAAGGGAGATGAGAGAGGGCGAATTTATTGAGGAGGCGGAACCTACCTTGGAAAGTGACCAACAGCCCGATGAGGAAATAAAACAGGGGGCCCTTCCTTTATACGCCTTGGCTGGATTTTCGGGACCCCGAACCATGCTACTCCATGGTAGTCTTTTTGGATTTAGGGTAATAGTGCTACTCGACAACGGTGCACGCCATAATTTTATTTCACTAAAATTGGTTCTACAGGCAAAATTAATGTAGACGCCACAGAGGAATTCAACGTGGTACTAGGCAATGGTCGCAAGGTGGAAAGAGTCTGCTCGAAATTGAGTATACAAATCGATGGAGCAGAAGTGTAGGCAGACTGTCACGTATTTCTTCTTGGTGGGGTGGATATAATATTGGGTATCGCATGGCTCAAGACATTAGGAAAAATTCAGATGGATTGGGAAGCCTTGGAGATGCAATACTATTTCGCGGGGCAGCAGGTGACCTTGCGCAGCTCGGCATACCACCCAGATACTGACGGCCAAATTGAAGTCTTGAATCGCACACTAGAGACATACCTTCGTTGTTTTTGCTCGGAACAACCCCGAAAATCGGCAGCCTGCCTTCCATGGGCTGAGTTATGGTACAACACTCCCTTCCACACTGCCGCTGCCACTACTCCCTTCTCGACCGTCTATGGCTGACTGCCACCCACACTGCATAGTTTATTACCAGAGGAATGCCGGGTTGGTGCAGCTTCAGAGTTGCTTGACGGGGGCTAGGCAGTTCTGCGACAGTTGAAATACCACTTGGAGCGTGCTCAACATCGCAAGGTGTGGGTAGCCAACGCCCATCGCCGTGAGCTCACCTTCCAGGTTGGTGACTTGGTATTCTTGAAGGTCAGACCCTATCGCCAAGGTAGCTTGCTCCAAGGCACCCATCACAAGCTCATCCCCAAATTTTATGGACCATTCCGCGTCCTTCGCCGCGTGGGAAAAGTCGCATATAAGCTGGATTTGCCAGCTACTAGCCGTATCCATCATGTGTTTCATATATCTCAACTTCGTCGAGTGTTGAGCAATCACCTAGTCAAGCCTCATTTACCCGAAAGCCTAGAGGTCGAGCAGCTGCTTGTTTACGATCCTGAAGTTGTTTTGGAATCAAACTTGCCGGAAGTATGGTTCCTCAAGTCTTGATTCAGTGACGCGGTCTTCATCTAGATGATACGACTTGTATTGACGATGAACAATTTTGTGCTCAGTTCCCAACCTCTTGCCTTGAGGACAAGGTAGTTCTTAAGGGAGATGCAGTTGATACGTGGTGGGTGCAGCCAAAAGTTTATTCATGACGAAGTTGTTGCAATGGCCTGAAGCCTAAATTTATTATTAAATACCTTAGTTCTTTATTTTTTTTATTTGATTATTTTGAATAAATTGTTAAGTTGGTCGGGCCTATGTCCATAGTACTTTTGCCCTAGTATTTTAAGTATTATTTTGAGATATTATTAGTATTATGATTTCCTTTAGCTTCACGGCTTCGGCTTGGCCAGAAAGAGTAATTCTTCCTTGATTATCAATAAAATTTAATATTTTGATTCTCTTAAATTCTCGTGTTATCAAAATGAATTAATTTTTTCTCTCGTTTCAATCCAAATATATATATACATATATAAACAATGATGGTGGTGTATGATGCGGATACAATACATCCACCAAAGTGTTTGGTAGTGTCTACTGAAAAAAGAGAAAAGAAAAAGAGTAGAGCAAGAAAAGTGTATAATATATATATATATATATAGATATGGAAAGCTAGCTAAGAATAGAGCCAACTAAAAAATCTATACCCTTCGTCACAAGTATTGCTATAAAATCATTGCTCTACAATCATAACAATATTTGGAATATTTTAACTTTGAATCAGACATTGCTCCACTGTCTATTATATACCTCACTTTGTTTTTTGTTGAATCATTAGTTCCAAAAGTTTTCAATGCACAACAAATACACATGGACAGACTCTGTTTTCCTTCGTATTCTTCAACTACATAAATAATATATATGTGATACTCATACTAATATTTTTACAAGATCAAATAATATTTTTGGATGATCGTTGAAACTGAATGCTGCTGATATTTTTTAAGATAAGAAACTGCAGGTTTTATTCCATAGAAAAAAATACTCTCTATGAATAAATCAAAGGAGGAATTTGGGCAAAACAAACTAAGTTATAGTATTTCTTGAATTACATGTATGTATGGATAAAGCAGCATCTTCATTACAGAACATATTTAGTTTTTCAAATGATTCTCAGAATCCCAAATATTGGATTGCTGAGAATCAAACTAGGCGACACACGAACATTTACAATCGTGTAGCAATGTGTAGGAGTGAGAAAAAGAATCACAATGTAGAACCTCTCTTCTATTCATCTAAATTAATATATGTGCCTATATATTTATATATATATATATATACATCTTAGCCACTGTGTTATAAAACAGTGCCGAATAACCAAATGTGCACGACAATGCAATAAGCAATGAGTCCTAGCCGCCCCCTTGGGTGATTCATCAAAGCCCGACTACCAGATACCCTGGGCAACGACAGAAACAAGCATCAGAACAATTGATCTGTGAAGAATCAGATAGTTGACTTCCAATTTCAAGAAATCAGTACTTTCCAAGATGTCTAATGCTTATGACAACACATGTATGTATGCTTATAGATGATATGGAAATTTTACCATATTCCATCAACTCGATCAGCAACTGTTCTTCCCTGTCTCGGAATCAGACCAGATGTGTTCAAGGATTTAAATACATGACCTTCATGGAAGAATTCAAAGTGAGCCCACAATGCAAGAGGTACAATCTCAATTATCAGTTCTTCAAGTACTTACCTTTATCTTCATCTGATTCTTTATTGCCTATCAATCTTTCTGAATCGGAATCAATATTTAGTGCAAGGTGATCGCTTGAACCCTTCCTCAACGTACGTACATGAGCTGCATATGGGACTGGAGGCATATTGTTGCTCTTACCAAGTGCTGCCTGCAAATCCTAGAGTAGGTAACCATCATGTACTATATATGATACTGAGGAAAATAATACATAATGGACTTTATTGATAAATTTTTGAAACAGATGGTGATTGTATTTACAGATCTCTGAAGGTAACGGTTGCTGCATATGTAATATAAAAAAATAGATATTTAATTTGATGTTTTTGAGAAAAAAAAAAATGTAAATAATAGAGATTAAATAAGGTTAGCCAAAGAAACACACCAGTATACATTATACAGGCTTCACTTAGAAAAATATTAAGGAATTAAAACTTCAAATGTGCAAAGGATTAAATTCTGAAAAGCAGTTAGATCACACTCTTTCACCTAGCACATGGAATTTATTTGTATCTTGCCGTAAAAAGGGGCAAATTAGAGGTGTGGGCAAAAAGTAGATAGATTTCACTATAGCAATATAAATTTATTACCACATCTTGCATTTCTGATATCTCAGACTGAGAAGACAAGGAGGTTCCTGTGTCTGGGCCTATCTCTGTTGGAACAACTCTGGCCTGGTTAGAATCTTCAAAGAATTTAATCTTGTTTGACAAATCATCCACAACTTTCTGGGTACCCAGCAATTTGGAGCCAAGTTCTTCATTTTTTAATTTCAAACCATCAAATTCTATCATTGTGGTATTAACTAATTTGTCAAGCAAGGGCAGCAGCTGTATTTCCTCATCTCCTTTTATATCTTTCAACAAATCACTGCCCCCAAGCTTTCGGACAATATTCTGCAAACCTGACTCAACTTCAAACAACTTGTTCAAAATTTTGGGATCTTTCTTGTTATCCAAATGATCTTCAACTTGCCTCTTCAGAGATTCAATTTCAAGAATCTGTGAATCAACTACGGATTGCAACTCTTCATTATCACGAGAGAGTATCTGCACCTTCTGCTGACATGCACTGAAAGTCTCAAGTACATGGAACAGCTTACTTACATTCGCTGAATCATGTGACTCTTGAACAGGGAAATCAACATCCATGAACTCAACCCCATTCACCTTATCCACAATCAGTTTAACTTGAGATGCTGACAAAGGAGAGCCTTCAAATTCTGAAACAAATTCATCACTCATCAATAAGTGAGAAATTTGCAAATTCAATAATAAAGAAACAGAAAAGTGTTGGTACAAGAAGCAGATAGCACAAATCTAATCTATTTTGATGCAGGGACAAATACCTTGAACTTTGGACAATGCAGTAGATAATTCTTTCTCTCTTTTTCGTAGTTTATCCTCTTTCTCCCTATAGCCATTGAGTTGAGCACTCATTACATCAGAAATATCTTGATGTGCCTTCAGATCACCCTCCAATTTTGAGATGGTGTCTTTGTATTGATCTCTTTCTCTCTTCACTTCATCACAAGTTACTTGAGATTCTTTCATTTTCTCCTGCATATCTTCTATAATACTTGCCAACTTATTTATTGCGGCCTGAAAAACTTCGGTAAGATTTTGATTCTGTTTGGCCACAAGTAATAACTTCTCAGCTATTTTGGCAGAATCAGAAGCAAGTCCTAAAGCTGGTACATCCTCAAGTGCACCCAACTCTGAGGATAATATGTCATCTAGTTTTACGGATTCAAGGGAAGATCTCAGTTCCATTACACGTTTTTGCACATTCAATTCCAGCGTCTGAGTGGCATCAGTACAAGCAGAAAGTAGAATTCTTATATCACCATCCAGCAAAGACACCGCGTCCTCTTGCCTTTGCTTGTATGTTTCTATGTCTTTCACCTGTTGCTTGATATCTTTTGTTTCGTTTATTATACCTAAAATTCTATCCTTCATTCTGTGTAATCTTCTTGAGAGAAATGCAATCGATTCATCCATATGTGCAGATAAGCTATCACATTTATTAACCAATACCTTGCTTTTTAGATGGAATCCCTCATTCAACTTCTCAATATGAGATGAAATATTCTCGCTGTCAGTTGCAGATCCATCGTTATCTGACTCCAGGCTCATAGTAGTATCCGGTCTAGACACCAGAGTGGAAAATGAAGCATCATCCTACAAAAAAATGGAGATGTAGTAACTCATTAGATTCAGACAAAATGCTCAATAATTTATTATTAAGAAGCAAAAAATTGCAATGCATGATAACTTTGAAATGTGCAGAGCAGATGTCACAACCAATAGTTAAGAGAGCATGTCAAATACAAAGACCAATATATATATACCTTTATGGCAGGACTGTTTTGTTCCATGTTAGAGTCCATTTTCTGGATATATTCCCACATCTCAGAAAGCAGAGACTCCATGTTGCTTAGGTTCTGAAATTTTCTCTCAAAACATTGTCCCAGAGAGGATGCAAGTGTGTCATCTTTGAGAGTTACATGAAGACGGCTAAGTTGACCAGAGAGCTCCAGAGATAGATTTTCTTTGCTACCATGAGTTTCAGCTAATTCTTCCATACAAGATTTCAACTTAGAGGACAGCGCCAAAATCTCCTGTTCAGCATTTTTCTTTTCTTCAACAAGATCAGAGATGTTGCTCTCTGCCTTTTTCAAGGCACCCTCAAGTGTGTTGATTGTTAGGGAGGCATCAGAAAGCTTGATAGCATATGAATCAACTTCTTCTCTGAGTTTCTTCAGCTCACTGTCCAAATCAGCCCTGCCAATTTCTGCCTTGCTATGTTCTTCAGCAAGTTCTGAAGAATTCTTCCTCGACTGAGCCAATGCATCTTCAAGAGATTGAATAGTTTTGTCAGCATCAGCAAGCTTTGTAACATATCCAGAATAATCATCTTTTAATTTCTGTAGCTGCTCTTCAGCAAGAATTTTACTTTCTATTGCCGTCTCCCTCTCACTCATTAACCTAGACACTTTATTTTCTGCTTGTGAGAGAGCATCTTCAAGTGCCCTTCTATTTGATGAAAGCTCTTCAAACTTGCTTACATGAGAAAAAGCTTCCTCATTTTGCTTTTGAAATTCCTCTTTCAATTTCTGTAGCTGCTCTTCAGTAAGGATTCTGCTTTCTTCAGCTATTTTGCTCTCTTTCATGAACTTCAAAATATTATCCTCAGCTACAGACAAAGCTTCTTCAAGTTCTCTTTTACTTGCAGAAAGCTCTTCAATTTGACTTAAATGAGAAGATGCTTTCGCACTTACCTTTTCTAATTCCTCTTCCAGATGAGCCATGGAAACTTCAAGCTCCTCCTTCTCACCCAATAATTGAGATTTAAATGTTTCTGCAGCAGATAAGGCACCTTCCACTGTCATTAACCTAGTCTCAGCTTCTGACAATTTGTTGTACAGTGAACTGGCTTCATCCTTTACTTTACTCAGTTCCTGCTGCATCTCCATCTTTGAAACTTCAAGTTCATTAATATATCCAGCAATATAATTTATCTTTTCCATGGGTTCTTCAAAAGTTAAACTAGTGGCGGTACTAATACCTTCAATAGACTCCATTATCTTTTGTAGCATACTACTTCTTTCGGCTATGAAATGCTCCAGTTGATCTGCATGTTCCTTCACAGTGACAAGCTCTGTCTCTAGCAATGCTTTAGATTCTAAATCAAGGGTCATTTTAGTAACTTGATCCTGGAATTCAGTGCATTTAGCTAAGTATTGCTGCAGTTCGGCATTCAATCTGTCAATTTCAGCATCTTTTTCATTCAAAGAACCTTTCATTGTTTCCCGATCTTGAACAAGCCCCTTGCCTTTTTTGACTGCCAGAGACAACTTTTCCTTAAGTAAAGCACATCTGTCCTCCAATTGATCAAGGCTTCTCTGCAAGCCAGATTTCTCTTCCTTCAGGGCATCAAGTTCTTGATCCTTTATTTCTAAGTCGTGAGTCAAATTACTCAGTTGTCCTCTAACCAATGTATCTTCCTCAACAATAAGCTTGTACAGACTCATTTCCTGATCTGTCAAGTACAGAAGACTCTTGAATTTTTCTAACTTGTCAAACTCAACAACAGATGGTTCAGAGGGACATGAATCTTCTCTAACCTTTTCAAGGCACTTATCTAAAATGCTTACTACGTCAGCATGCTCAGGATTTACATCTTCATGATTATCAGCAGCAATTCCAGATACATCTAGTAACCTGCTGACAAGCTTATGCTTCTCCAAAGAGGCTATATATTCTTTTTGAACAACTTCTTCATGACTGCGTTTCAAGTTCTCTAACTCCAATTGAAGATGGCTCTTCTCCTGCAATTCAGCTGAGATAGATTTTTTAAGGTGATCAACCTCATTATTCAGAGCTACTCTACCTTCAGCTAACTCATGTTGTGACTTTTCACATGCTTCATATTTGTTTCTTAGGTCCTCCAGTTCTGCAAGAATATAACTTCTCTCTTGCATTTCTGAAAGAAGAGAAGTAGTGAGTCGATCAATCTCCCAAGACGCAGCATCTTTTGTTGTTTTTATCTCAGATTGCAACCTTGCAGCTTCTTCATTAGACAGATAAAATGATTGGGCAAGCCATTGGACACGGGCAACTAATTCATTTGATGCCACTGTTTCTGGGAAATCAAGTGATGATAATGCATCATTTAGTTTATGATATTGATGAGCTACAGCCTTTAACGACTTGTTCTCATCTGCAAGCCATCTGATTCTACCAGTTATATCAGTTTGTTGTAGATCTTCTGAGGCCACACTTTCAGATAATATTTCTTCACAATTTTTAATAATGGCGTCCTTTTCCATCAGTGATTGCTGTAGCGAAGCAGAAAATTGTTCAGCCTTCTCAAACAAGTCCTTTGTCTTCTCTGCAGCCTCCAAAGCAGCTGACTTCTCTTGCAATTCAATTGCACATTTTTCCAACTCACTTGATTTCTCTGCTAACAATTGCTTCAGGGAGTCCCTATGCTGTACCAGTGCCTTTCCTTTGGTCACGGCTATGCTAAGCTTCTCTTTTGTGTTGGAATATCGATTTTTTTCTTGTTCAACTTCAGCATGCAGTCTTTCGATTTCCTCATTTAGGTTTTCAGCAGCTAATCTCTGTTTCTCAAGCTGTTCCGTCAATTTTCTATTTTCATCTTCTAAGCTGCTTAGCTCATGATGCAGATTCTGCTCCTTCCTTCCAAGTTCAAGAATTTTGTCACGTGCCAGGGAAAAGGTTTCAATTTCATCAGTCAATCTGAACTCTAATCCAACCTCATTCATAGCTTCCCTAAGCTGGTAACTTTCAGAGAGAAAATTATTATATTTCTCAGCTAAAACAGTAACAAAGTACTCAATTTTGGAAATTTTTTCAGTAAGCGATCCATCTAACTGATCATCTTGACGGTGCATCATGTTAAACATCGCTAATATCCTGTTAACAATTTCTTCACTGTATTGAACTTCATACCACTGTGATAACTGTTCCTTTTTTGAAGTTGAGACAGATTCAGACAACTCAGCAACCTTAGCATTGAGAAGATGAATTTCCTGATCTTTACTATATAGCACAGAATCAAATTCTCTAGATTTTTCCACAGCTTGTTTATGATCTTCCAAAACAATTTTCAGGAGTCGAGAGCACTCACTAATAATATCATGTGGAGAGTCACCAGATCCCATAGTGATCTTATCCCAAGCCACTGCATGATGATCAACTACTCCATTAACATTTTCACCTGGCATAGTCTGTGCCTCATTTGGGATCTTCAACTGATAGCAAAGGTTTGTGAGTTCTCTCACAAGCTCTGCCCTTTCTTCCTGCATGAATATTACAATATTATTTATGCAAGCAATACATAAATAGATTAAACACAGCAAATGCATTCAAGATTGAACCTCGTATTCTTGCGCCAATCTTTCTTTCTCAGCAACAGCATTATCATTCATATCACGCAAATTTTCTATCTCGGTGACCAATTTTTGGACATTGATCCCACTGTTTGATTCATTAGGTTGGTCATCAAGTTGGTTATCCTTCTCATCGGTATTTTGTTGAGAATCAGAAGTTTCTATCTCATCTGGACAATCAACAAATGTATCATCCCTTCCCACATCTTCTGATATCTTTCTATCCAATGCTTTCACACTATTCTGGGCAGTGGGATCCACCTGCATTGCCAAATCCCACCACAACCCACAGAATTCTCAAGTTATTTCACAAACTAAAACATATGCTATGTGCCATCATTTCTTTCTTTTTGGCTTGGCTCTGTAGTATCAACACTAGCATGAGAGAAACAAATTCTTGACAATTCCATCCCTTCCAAAAAAAATATGCAAATATTTCCCGGGAAAAAGGATAAACAGCTACCACCCAAATGTAGGCAGATAGCTAGGAAACATCCTGAATCATACTTCTGATTGAAACCACATCATTATTTTATAAATGGCATTTCACTAAAGTTCATGTTGAAAAAGTGATTTATGCTTTAGTGTGTTTCTAAGTTCCATAATTGTCATCAATGATCAATGTGTACTTCACAAACTTGCATACACACACACACACAAGAATCGGGGTTCTAAAACAGGATTATCCTATCAAGGGCAAAAAGATTGTGCCTGTTAATGACAGAGATATATATCTCAAGTGCACTGTTATATGAAGTTAGAGAAATAACAGGTAATATGAACAAAATACATTGACACATTTTTCATGACTCATGTTTTTATCACCAGCACAAAATTGACCCTTATGGTGCATAATAACATTGGAAAAAAGAAAATTGAAGATCGTCAGAAATATTAAAATGTTAATTACCCTCAAATACAAAGCTTAAATTTATTTAAAGGTTCCACTGCCTAATTTATGGTGAAAATGTGATGTGTGCTGCTATAAATATGATCAAGAGTTTGAGTGATTCCACTTGATTCGCACGCAACATTTAACTCGACGCCGCACTATCACCCACATATCATGTCAGTCAAAAGGTCTGCTCTACAAGTGCATTGATGCACCACCCACTCAACTCCCAGCATCTTAAAATGTAACATAGTTAATCCAATTAGTTGAGCAGTACATAGTTAATCCATTTAGTACAATACTACTGAAAGTTGTTACCAACTCTACAACAATTTTATACATTATACACAAAAAGAATCGTCTAATAACATTTGGCGGTCTGCCTTGGAATACTGGATACTGATTTGCATAGAGAACACGATTCCTGGACAACAAACTTCAAAACTACACAAAAATGATAAACTATTGAAAGAGAAGCCACCTGAGCAACTGAATAGCCAGCTCCCTCAGCATCTCCAAGTTCCACAGGCAAAAAGCCCCCATCATACCCTGCCGAAGCCCCTTCTTTCGTACAATTATCCGTCATCTCCCTCGGTCATAACACAACCACCCCTTGCCTTAATAGCTATTCCACAAAACCCCAGATCTGAAGACAAATAAAGGAATTCAATTGTAGGATATCAAAGCCATCCTTACCTAAAACGAATCGCGAAATCATACAGCGCTGGAACCGTCCCGCCATCAGAGAAAAGAAGCAGAATAAAACGGAACAGAGAAAACGGTGAGAGCAATATACCTTGCGCAGGGGCGGCTCGATTACAGGGTCGTTTGGAAGAACGCGAGGGATCTTGGATTCAGCAGCTGTGTCGGTATGAAACAGAGTTGAGAAACGTGCATGACAATGATAGCCCCACATCGGGACGAGCTTCTGCGTTCGGGTACCCATTCCGGTACATACGTGATACGACGACGTATTAGGCAGGGTTAAGATGAAAAGTCAAACATTTCATTGGATTCTATATCGACCCGACCCGACCTGATTTGGCAGCCTAGAGGAGGATACTACCTGTATAGGAATTAGGATACAATACGATATTTATTTGGGCCGGGCTTTTCAATGGCGGGCTCTATTACTTATGATTTTAGTTTTGGGTACGGATTCGGTCCCATCAATACCATGCTGATAAAATATGAGCCACATATCATAATAGATTAAATTTTAATGGTTGAGATTAAATAGAGGCTGGATGGTAATTTTACAGTAAAAGTATAAGGGTTTAGGCTCGTACCATTCCTTCGTAGCGATTTAAACCAATCTCTCTCTCGCATTCTTCTTCGATTCGCATTCTTCATCAATCTCGTTCTCTCGATCCTAGATTGTCATCAATTTGTTTGCAACTTCAATTCTTCGTCTTCAACTTCTTCAACCCACTGCCTCGTTTCAAATCGACGACACAGACGCGCTCGGGATTCTTAACTTCATCATCACCGGTTGCTCCCAAGATTCGGTAAGTATTGAATGTTTAATCGTTCCTTAAATGTTTCTCTCCTTCCATGTTACCCAAGTGAAATCGTGGTTCTTGTTGTTGTAGTTTTGGAAAAGCCTTAGTTTGAGTTCGCGAAACCTAGTCCGAGTAATCGCAACTCTTCGAAATCAATCAACAATGTCGAAAGACCCAATCATTCAATTGCCTTGCATTCCCCGAAAGGTCGCCCAACTCAACGAATCTTTACAGAAATCTTCTCGGGATTCGATTTGGAGGTATATTCAATCTAGCCCTTTTAAAGGATTGTTCCATGTGAAACCAATGACTATTCCCGTGGCTCCTATCATGAAATTATTGAGTTATTGGGACCCTGATAGCGAGTGCTTTCATCTATCTAATGGGAATAAGTGGTGTATTACTGATCGGGATGTTGGTGTTGTCTATGGGCTGCCATATGGCAAAAATAAGGAACCTATTTCATTGTACGAGTCTGATTTTTTTTACAATTTTGCTGATAGATTTAGTTTAGACATGAAACTCATAGGAACGGATAAAAAACATATAGTTGAGTCTTTGTTAAAGGAGTTACTAGATAGTTGTAGACTAAGGAGTGATGTTAATTTTTGGCGAATATATGTAATGTATTGCATGTGTGTCTTGCTTACACCCATATCAAATGCGAAGATTAATCATCGCATAATCCAATTCCTTGAGTCCAAGGAGTTGGCAAATGAGTTTAATTGGGCTGGTTTTGTTCGGGATAAGATTATGGAGGGTCTGGATACAATGTCTAAAACATTCAAGAAAAAAGCTTTGGTCAGTGGAAGGCCATCCGGGGACATGCATTGCTTAATGGTAAATTAAAATATCGTAATCACTTTGTTTACTTTTCCGTTTTATTGTTCTCATTGTGTAATATACGATTTTTTTTTTATTTTCAGCATATGTTTTTTGATAAGTTCCACACCGAGAAATGCGGTGTGTGCTTTTTTTCATGTCATCTCAAGCGAAAAATAACATTGGAAGATGTTGCCAAGCTCTTCGGCCCTCAAAAAGTTCAATCAACAAATGTTAGATTTTGTCATCCAGTTTGAAATATGTACTTTGAATATGCCGAGTTCATAGTTTATTTGGCCTGCTGATTGTTCCACTGTGATATGCAAAGCAATACTTATTGATATGATGGGTTAATATATTTGAAATGTTGGATTTGATGTATTAGCTAATACAGATGAGGGTGGTATACATGTTTGTTTTTTCATCCTGATTGTTCAAGTGTGATATGCTAAGCAATACTTGTTGTTATGTTGGGTTAGTATCTCTGAAATGCTAGATTTGATGCATTAACTGGTACAGGGAATGATGGTATACATATTGTTTGTTTTTACCTACTGGTTGCTCCACTGTGGTATAAGCAATACTCATTCATATGCTAAGCAATCATTGTTGATATGCTTGTTTAATATCTCTGAAGTGTTGGATTTTGATGTATTAGTTGATACAGAGGAGAATATTATACATGCTTGTTTTTTCATGTTCAGCGTTCCACTGTGATATGTTAATCAACACTTTTTGATATGCTGGATTAATATATCTGAGATGTTGGATTTGATGCATTAACTAATACAGAGTAGGATGATTACATATTGTTTGTTTTTTTCTGTTGATTGTTCCAATATGGTATACTAAGTAATATTTGCTGAAGTGCTAAAGTAGTGATTTTGGATTGCTATCTTGATTCCTTGATACAGTGGTACAAGAATGAGATTATGCGGGTGTCCAAAAGACTCCGCAATTTAAAGAAAGAATACAAGAAGTGTGAGGGCCATGAAGATGACATTGCTGATGGCAGAAAAATTTCTGAAAAAAAATGTTAGTGATTTCAATGTTATGAGTTGATCTGTAGTATATCCATTGCTTTTCTTATACAATTGCAGTGTATATAAGCCTTAATCCCCAATACTGTATAGGAATTTTTTTAGTGTGATTTGCCCCGGTTGGAGGAAGCTGTCAATGAAGATGAAGGTCTTCATGGACAAAATGTAGAGAATGTGATTTAAGTTGTATGAGTTTGTTGTTTTCATCTTGTTATGTTATATAATATCAATTGTTTTTCTTGTACAATTGCAATGTATACAAACCTTAATCCCGATTATTATCACAGGAATTTGTTAGGTGCGATTTGCCTCTGGAGGAAGAACTTGCCCATGATGAAAAAAATGTTGAACATGTATTTGTAATTGATCATTGCTAGATAACTATTAATTAATTAATATTTTGAATTAATTAAGAATATATTCTTGATCATTGTTATAGGAGCAAGTGCAAACTCAGGGAGCGGATTGTGAACCTCCCACAAAGAAACAAAAATACGATGCAGAAATTGATGTTGACCCAATGAGTCTTTTTTCACTTGGGTTAACACAGGATTTTGAGAATGCTGCCAGACCTTCAAAGGAAGATTCGCCAACCAAAATTACGCTGAGTACTTGCAAGGTATAACTAATTATATATTGCCTTTTAGCTTTTTTTATAATTGCATATATAAAAGCTTTTTTAAGACTAAAGAATTTATTTGGCAAGAAATTGTTTTATATGAATCAATTGAACGAGAAAACATCCACTCGCCAATGTCATCCCTTCCCCAGCTCCAGACAAAAGAAACTAAAGTTCATCGCGATCGACTACCATTGAAAGTTTTCTGTTCTCCCTATGAAACTTCCTCCAGTATTTTTGATGTGTTCAAGTTGAGTGAGGAGGAAGAGAGGACTGTCAAGTGGGCATTTTATTTACAGCGCGCATCAACGGCTGACTTGGGAGATATTATTTTTTCGGATGGAATCTCTGTGATATTCAAGCATGATATCCAGAGTTTACGTCCATCATCTGACATTGCAAGCAACGTGGTTGATGCATTTGGTACCTTTCTGAATAGATCAGCTTTAAGAGAAAGCAAGCACAGCGGTGTTTCAATGCCCAAGTTTGTGTATCATCCAACGTGGCTGTGAGTATATATTTACATGTGCATAAAATATGTATCGACGATAATTATTGATCATATATAATGCTAACTCGTTAAGTATTTGATGCTTATGGCAGAACTTATCTGATGCTATATTTTTCTATGCATGTAGTATACGGTGTGCGTTGAGATCGAGAATAATTTTCCCCGAAAAACTGACAAAGAACTGGTGAAGGAATGGGAACGACAGTTGGACATGAAATACCTTGGCAACGATCGGATTGAATGCTTAAAGGCTGACAATGTGAGTGTTTTTTTATGTATATATGGAATACTGAGTTTAATAAGCTGAGATGATGATATGATGCTTTATGATATGCTAAGTTGGTTTTGTATTGCAGTTCTTTTTCCCATTCTGTCGTTCGAACCATTGGGTGTTGTTTTCCGTGTCCATTCTTCGTAAGAAATTTTTTGATTTCAATAGCTTAAATGTTGTTGATGGATGGAATTCAAACTCAGTGATTTTTGAACGACTTTTTGGGTATTTCCGACGGGCTGCAAAGATATTATTTCCCGACCTACGGTGGGATGCCCATTATATAGTTGAGTTGCCACCCCACGTTATTCAGCCGGATATCCACAGTTGTGGTATTTTCACTATGCTCTACATGAAAAACTGGCCCATTGACTTGACTGGGCAGGTTTGTGAGCAAATTGCCAGGCGTGAATTTTTGGATAGGTTGAAAAAAAGGTATTGTGTACAAATCTTACTGCATGAGGAGAATCATAATATTGGGGATGTGAAAGAGAGGTCATTTCTTGCTGTTGGTGCTAAGATTGCACGCGCTGAAGATGAAAAAGCTGATGCGCAACCATTGAAGGGTCGTATTAAGATGGTTGCACGAAAACGTGTTAGTGTGCAAGGGTAAGGTCGAGGGCGAGGGCGACGCGTGGTCGAGGACAAGGTCGTGGGCAAGGCAAAAATTGAGTGTGATGACTGGTTTGTTGACATTGATGAATTGAATTTGAAGGGATTGTTGGTATTGGTCGAATTGTATTAATTTGAATGGATTGTTGACGTTCATCGATGGGTTGAAGTTTAATTGGTGATTGATTTGTTGATTGTATTTTTTGCATAAATTTATGCTTAATACTTAGGCTGCTCGATGTTAAATCAGGAGATGCTGACCGGTACATAGTAAAATGATTGGCTTAGTGTATATATATACTGGCAGATTTGTAGAAAATGCTTATTGGTACTCAGGATGATGCTTATTGTTATTCGACAAAATCCATGCTCTTGTATATGTAAGTGCTTAGCGTCAATTATTCACAATACTTTCGTACTAAATCATGTATGAACTGGCAAAAAAATCAATTTCCTTACATTTATCCCGGTGGTTATCTCTCTTATTTATCCTTCGATGCTTCTTTTGTCTCTCATAGTTGCTGATTGACACCTTTCTTTTAATTCTTCCTTTTGGATTGTCTCTTGGCTTCAATATTAAA